CCCCCCCCCCCGCCCCCCCCTCTCGCCGGCGTTTGTAGAGTTGGAAAAGTGTGCATGCCGTCCAAAGGAACGTGTGTGCTCTCGATATCAAGGCCCTCCGAATTGCTAGTACTTTCTGGTGAGAGTTACGGTCGGGTGCTCGGGCGACGTTGTGAGGGTGCGGCAAGTGAAAGTATCCATCCGTGGAACTGTTTCTATGATTACCGCTCCGTCATACACCGGTAGACCACATGTAGTACTCCTGTACCACAACGAAGGCCTTCTGGTACGTGCTACATGGTTGCATGTGGTTATGGTGCTGCTGTGCGTCCCTCGCGTGGTCTACTGCTTCAACTTTGTACTTCACTGCTCACGAGAGTGGCAGCGGCGTTTCTTGTTGTGTCAGATTCACACAAACTCGACACATCGCTGACAAAGTCACCTTCCGTAGGCGGCATGAGATATATCACACACCCCGGCCCGAATTCCGAAGCTCGATTGCTGCGCAGCATGTAAAGTGGCAGTGGCACAAGTGGCGGCGTGGTAGCCGTCTCGTCGAACACTTCCCGAAACGTATCGTGTCATTCATGGATCATCTTCATCGTGGACTTATCCAGCTTTGGTCGGTCCAGGGGTTACATATTTTGTGTCACCTGCGGTACGTTCAGTCTTGATGCCCCTCCCCCCCCCCCCCCCCCCCCCCCCCCCCCCCNTGCCCAATCTTGTTTTGCCGCAGCAGGCGAGACGGACAACAGCAGCACGGATAAGCAAGCGATCGACAGCAGCGTGCGCTGCCGTTGCGCTCCTTCCGGGTGCAATGTCCTTTCTGCGGGCCGCCGGTCTTGGCGTTGGCGGAGGTAGCAGCAACTTCGGCGGCCGCGGCGGCGGCGGCGGCGTTTTGCGCACTACTACCTCGAGGTTCTACGCGCACGCGCACTCGGTGTCGGGGGCGAATGGGGGTGATGGCGGGCGGGCGCAAGCGAGGTGTGGAGGCCAACGGCAACACTAGCGTGTACGGAAACCATGCGGAAAATGCTGCTGGATGAGTATGCGTGTGTAGACCGTTTGCGGGAAGGAGCACGCGTGACAGCAGCACGCGTGACAGCAGCACGCGTGACAGCAGCAGTAGCAGCAGCATTACGGCTGATTCACCTCCCAGTGTTTCTTTCGTGTTGTCGTTGTGGTCTAAGGGCTCTCTGGGCGGAACACGCCGGAGGCCCCTTGAAGATTGTTTCAATCTCGGTGCTCGGGGTGCAAAGCGAAGCAGGCGTTACACCGTCGCACCATTGACAAGCGAACATGCTGCTGCTGTGTGTATCATTTTCGGCGCGAGTGCGGGAGGGAGTGTTGGCGGGGCTGGGTATCTCACACACCTCCGACACGAAGGCGATGTGTACAGCAATGAGGCGCCTGGAAACACGACCCCGAAGGCACGAAACCCCGCCTGTATTCACCCACACCGCCGCCGCCACACGAGGCTCACTCATCAACACCCGATTGCTGCCTCCCCCTTACGAAATCTCGAGACCCCCCCTCTCCCCCCCCCCCCCCCCCCCCCCCCCCCCCCCCCCCCCCCCCCCCCCCCCCCCCCCCCAAAACTCCCGAACAATGCTCCGTCCTCTGGAGGACGCGTGGTCGATGGTCTAACCGCTAAGGGGCATGCAAAAATTGAGTACCCGCCCACAACTCCCCCAAAGTTGTAAGTACGTTTGCATGCTCCGCGGGGACCCCACCGACAACACCCTTTCGTTTTCAACAGGCACGCAGGCGTTGCCTTGCGCTGGCGTGGCGGCGGCCGCAGAGGGCTGGCCATGGTCGCGGGGGAAGGAGGCGAGGGTTCCGACTACGATTTCGCGAAGCGGGCGACGCGGTTCGAGAGCTCCTTCGCGGAAGGGGACAGCGCCTCTGCCAAGCGTGCGGTTCCGGTGACCGTGCTGCCGGACAAGGCGAGAGAGGAGGAGGAGGGGGAGGGGGGGNAGGGGGGGGAGGGGGGGGTTTGGTGGTGTTTGGTTTGTGCTGTTGCTGCCTGGTGCTGCTGGTGCTGCTGGTGGGTGGCGTTGCTGCCGCTGCTTTGGTGTCGACGTCGCTGCCGTAGCTGGAGCTGGTGTTGGTGCTGGTGTCACTCGCTGTTGTTGTTATCGTTTTTTGCTGCTGATGCCCTTGTTGTTGCTTTCGCTGTTGCTGTGGTTTCTTGTAGCGCTGGTTTCTTCCCGCGTCGCCGTATTCGCTGCTGTTGCGGTTAGTGTCCGGAATCACCCTGACTCACGTGCAGAGCAGCACTCCCCATGGCCCCCTTGGGGCATGAGATTAATTAATTTAGACGCAAACCGGTGTATGACTCCGTGAGGTAGTGGTTGATGTTGACTGATCTTCGACGCAGCATACCCCCACGTTTCCGCAGCGCTCCCCACGGGCGGGGCAAGACATGAATTCCAAGGCACGGAGTGCTTGAATCCGACACTCTACTCTATAAGAGAGAAAAACCCACGACCAACCCGTTGCAAGAGCGTCAACAAGAAAAGGCGTTGCCGCACCCCCCCCGCCCGCAACGACGCCCGCGTCAACGAAATTTTCTTGCAGGCAAGCTTCGAGCGGTGGCTCGGCTCCCAACCCCCCTCGTCCAAATCTTGGATCAAGGCCCTAGGTCAGGACTCCCACACGGCCGGTCGATTAGTGCTGGTGCCCTCCTCCGTCGGCGATCGGGGTGGGCAGGAGGGGGAGGAGGTTTCCCTCTCGGAGGTAGCGTTTTGCCTCGGGGAAGGGGATGATTCCGCGGGGTCCCCATTCTCCTTGTGTTCGCTCCGTGAGAAGGTGGGAAAGAGGGACGGGACGGGACGGGACGGGACGAGGGGGTAGAGAGAGATGCAGGGCAGAGAGAGAGAGAGAGGGAGAGAGAGAGTGTGTGTGTCGTCAGCAAAGAGAAAACGAACAGGGATTTTTTGCGGCACGTAGGGAAAGTGGAAGGTTTTCGGGCCCTTTCCAGTCCAGTCCGTTGGCGTGTGAGCGAAGAAAATGTCCCCGAAAAATGCCGGCCGATTGTGCTCCTTTCTTCCTTGGTGTCCGCTGCGAGGGTTATTTTGAGTATGCATCGCTGTGCGAGGGCCTCGGGCCCCTGCTGCAGAGGCAGCACGCACGTATTTTTCCGCCGATGATCTGGTGTAGAAGTATGATTTGTGCTGCCATTCTTCCGAGATTTCTGCCACTGCATCACCTTGCTTAGATGTGGGGGCGTTGTTTTGGTGTTTCAGCCGAACCCCTTCCTTCCTGCGTGTCTATCGCGTTTTCCCATCTTTGTCGTGTCCCCTCTATCTCTTGTCTGTCTGTTTGTCTGTCTGTCTGTCTGTTTGTCTGTTTGTCTGTCTGTCTGTCTGGCTGGCTGGCTGGTTGGCTGGCTGGCTGGCTGGCTGACTGTCTGCCTTACCTGTCCGTCTGTCGATGTCTCTGCCGTTTTACCTGACTGGTCGTTACTGTCTGGGTGTGCTTCAGCTTCCCGCGGGCACTTACGCGCTGCGCGGAGCGGATGGGGACGTGGCGGAGCCAGACACTGCGGCTCTCTCTTGGGCGATCGGGGGATACTCGTAAGTTGTAGCATTCCTTGTCCTTGTCTTTTTCAACACAACGGCATTCCGATCTCAATAGTCTACCGAGAACGGCAGACGGCAAAGGTCAAGGCGTGGCCATAGCCTTGCCACGCTCAACCCCGCATCCCGTCTCACCCGGCATCGTTGCCGTTTCGTGTCATCACCAGTACGCCACACGAAATCCGCAACACGTTCGCGTGCCGAGCGCTACGACGTGACTGCTGCTGCTGCTGCTACTGCTTCTGCTGCTGCCGCTACTTCCGCTGCTGTTTCTGGTGCGACTGCCGCTGCCGCTGCCTCTACTGCTGACGTTCGTTTCAATTCGCTGTTCGAAGCTTCGACCGGTTCAAGAGCAAGAAGGGCGACGGGGGCGAGAAGGGCAAGGAGAAGGAAGACAGCAAGGTAGTGCTTGCGTGGCCGGCGGGTGCCGACAAGGCCCGGGTCACCGCGGCGGCGGCGTCGACGTTCCTGGTGCGGGACCTGATCACCACGCCTTGCGAGCACATGGGCCCTCAGCACCTCGAGGTGAATGAAGCCTATGAAGTTTGCTTTGTGTTTCGAAGTAGGTGACCACGGGAATCGAAAGTGTTCAATCAGTACGGTCAGATTGAGGTATTCGGTAGAGAGGTCGGAACGATATTTTAATGTGAAGGCAACAACAACATTTTTTTGTTTTTTTATGTATACAGAAATTTTCATGTTTTATGCGTTGTCCTTCATAAGACTCGTATTAAAGTAATCCGTACCAATGTACTGACACCTTCAGCTGGAGGAAAAAGTGTTGGTTGGCCTGGTTCAACCGGCGCTGCAAGTACGACGCGTTTGAGGTGATCACGTGCGGCCTGTCTAGTTAGGCGTGGGAGATTCTTGAAGAGATCAAGGACTAGACGTGAGGATTCAGCCCGGAGACAGTGTAATGAACGGCCCTTCGGTCGGGGCTTATAAGTTTTATATTTCCTGTTGTTAGTTCTCGGAAATGAAGAAGTCGACGACGGTTGGATCGCTCTTGCACATGAACACACCAATGTACCTATTTTGGCGGGTAGGTGGAGGAGGAGTTGAGGACACGAACTGGAAGTATTTCACCACGGCGGTCCACTGGCCTTGGAAGTGTTTGGTTGGAAATCTGAGCCCTTTGGTCCGGCCCAGAGAGCTTATTGTTTTGTGTCATGCAATTTCGTTGTTGGCTTTTGATCATGGCACCCGCTGCTAATCATAATGATTCAATCCCCGTGCGGAAACGCAGTTGAATCCATTGATTCTTGATTTTTTATGGCGCGGCGGTGCCAACTCTCCGATGTTGAACGGCTGTCGGAGCCATTATTTTGTTTGTTTTCTGACCCTGGCTGCCGCGCTCACCCCCCCCCCCCCCCCC